GCCTGGTTTGATGTTAGGAAGCAACAGTAGTTGGAGCAGACAAGGAAAACATCAAGGAAGGTACAAGGCTTCAGAATGCAAATCACTCTTTTATGTCATTCTCCCGAATCCCCTTTGGGGAGAGGAAAGTTGATTATCTACAGAATATGGGTCAAAGTCATGCCTTAAGGATCTTTCGGCATTCTGGCTGCTTGCTGACATACTACAGGGCTCCTTGGTCCCTTTTCAGGTTAATGCTTTCAAAGTGCTGTCCCTGTGCATCTGCATCATCATCATCATAATGCTGCTAAAAAAATTCATTTCCTGCACCCACTCCCAGCAGTTTCTCTCATGCTGAATTTAATTGATGTTTCTTCCTGCACTCTGAGGAATGATTAAAATGAACGCTACACATGTTTGGAAGCACCTCGGATTTTGAACTCTGCATGGTTTCTAATTAAAGGGTCACACACAGGATGCTTGTGCTCCATTTCACTCCTCTCTATGGCTATTATTATTACTACACACATTTCAGCAGTAGTCAAAAGAATCTCCTCTACCTCACATAACAGGATCCTGATTTAGACTGGATAATCACCAGTTGTTGATCTGGGTGAAAAATGTCTTTAGGAAAGGCAAGGCAAAAAAGGCTTGAGATGTAACTAGCCCTCTGGCATAGGCATTGATATTAATGACCTAAGTGTTTGAATTTCTGGATAACCTGGAGCATGTAGTACCCAATGTTAAGCACTGGTGCTAATGAAGTAGAAGAAAAAAACAAAACAAACAGCTAGGAAAAAACCCAGCATAATCTGCAAGGATGTATGCGAGTGATGAAGCAGCAGCCCTGCTGTCTGGGTGTCAAGGTCTCTGTCGCTACAGCCAGATCACTTGTTTTGAGGATTGACTCTTCCCCAAGGCGAAGAGCATCAAAAGACTCGTTATGCTCTCAATCATATTCTCATGTGTTATTGACATATTTGACATATTCCTCTATCATCCGCGGATATGTCTCCACAGAGCAGGGCCAAAGCCGCGGACACGCTCAGCTCCAGAGTTTTTGGGAGCCAGAGCCCCGTGTGCGCTGTGCCGTAGGATTTGGCCTCGGTGCTCGCCGACCTGTCGGCACAGGTCAGATGGGGCACGTGGGAGCAGCTTGGCGTGCTCAGTGCCACCAGCGTGCCTTCTGTCCGGTTAAACCACAACACCTTCCTCCCATTCCCCTTGAAGTCCAGGCATAGCCGGAGATGGCTTCATCCGGGGGCAGCTGATGCTCCGAGATTTTGGAGGAAAAGGTGAGTCTCAGCACTACTCCTATCCCTCCCTACCCACCCTCTCCCTGGTAAATACTTGATTCCCAGGTAAAACTTCAGGTACAATTCTTGAGATGTTGCTCAGCTTTACTTTCAGATATCTCAGGACCCAAATGGCCGGGGGAAGCAACCAGCACTGAAATCTCGCCCCAGTTAATTACACATCTGCAACATCAGCAGCTGCACCTGACATCAACAAAGCTGCACAATAGAGCTAATACCCCTGCTTTTCTGTAAGAAAAGATGGGGCTGTAAACCACAAAGGGGAAAATATTTCACATATATTTGCTATTAATATAAAGCCAGCTCATAAACCCCATCTTGCAAAGTCGTGCAGTCATTTCGAAAACTGCAGCTACACCTCGCTAGATGCAATGACCTTAACGTTTTCCAAGGCCTGCTTCTGACTTTGCTTACATGAATGTAAATAAATCAAGAGCTCCCCCACTGACCATAATGACAGTATTCCTGATTGTCACTGTTGTGGCAGCATAGTCAAGTTCCGTGGCAAGTGACACCAGGGGAAATGCTATGATAGCAATCCTATACTGCATTGCATGCATCTTTTACCACCTCGTAATTTTTAAAATATGGGATGCATTTGCTTTTTGAATGTCTTGTAAAATGCTACAGGCTATAAATAATTCAAGCCAATAATAATGGGATGCCTGGGCATTTCTTTTTCAGTTTTAAGAAGGCAGCGCTCTAACTTGGTGAAATAAACTGTTTTTACTGAAATAGTTCTCACTGCTGGTAAAGAAATGGCTTACAATTAGGTACACTGCATATTAGCAATAAAAAAGACTTAACAACAAAGCAAAATAGTGCTGGTGTATACATTTTTATTACTTACTCGTCTTCTGTACGGTTTCAAATCCTTTCAGAATAGAATTGAACTCCTGTGCCTCTACCCTGAGCTAATGCTATAATCATTGGGATATTGTATAAAATAGGAGCACTGGCTTCTCCTCTGGTCGTGTTATAAAACTGAAGAGCATTTTGCTTTTCAAAGACAGATTTTAGACACTTAACTTCAGGAAAGGATTAGGTCCTATCTCTCAAAAGGGAGAAGAGACTTTGGCCCCTGAGAGGGGCAGAAGTAAGACGTACTGCCATCCTCAACACTTCCCTAGCAGCTAATTCAGCACGCTGGCTTTCCCTCTCCCCTCCTTCAGCAAGCGAACACTGCAGGCTCCTGGCCTGCCCTAACTCCTCTCACTGGGTGATAAACTTAGGTGACCATTTCAGGACAGTGGATTCTGGTATGGGAGCATGAGACCTGCAAAACAGGAGTAAAGGATGGAGTTAAGTATTGCTCAGAAAAAATATAAACGTACCCTGAAGAAGACTACATCCTGTATTTCCATGACATCAAAACCAATTAAGCTTTGTTTCCCTGCTCGTTATGCCTAATTATTCTATCATACCGCCTCCAAAAAGCTATTCATAGTTACATCTGTCATGTGGCCTCAGCATAGCTCTGAAGACTAAAGGTTTGCAAGTACATTTTGTGAAATAGCAGCAAGTGCTACGTGGTCAAGTGGTGTCTCTCCGAGACGCCTCCCTTGGTGGGGCTGCTGGAGAAAGCTGTGACCCCCTCGACTCTCTCAGCAACGAGACCTCCAAGAAAGAGCTTGAGAAAGAACCGGCCAAGGGTGCAGTTTTATGGTACCATCTTCAGGCAATCTTTGCTGGTTAACGTGTCCATGGGTTTAGCTCCCTGAGCTGGCTCCTCAGGCTGCGAGATGAGCACAAGAAAGGCAATAGGACCGCACACCCGATGGGAGGGCTCAGATGGGAACCAGAACATCCATTTTCGGCAGCAGCCCCCAAACGGGATCTATAGGCTCACCCTTACCCTAAACCCACAGCTTCAGTATGAGAGTAAGTGATAGCTCCAAGTCCGAGAATGAGCGCTGGATCCCTCACTTGAGCAGATGGGAATTACCGTGCTGAATTTCAAAGGAAGGCAATTTAATTTCCATATGATGCCATTGCTTTCTTTTCACCACCTCATCCCCCTGCCTGCCAGAACCTCAGTGAAGGAATTGTCCACATCCTGGTTTGAACGTTTCTATGGAGTCAGAACTTGAAAGAATATGTCTGTGCTCAGAAATTATGCATAAGTCCATTACAGCACAACAATAACTCAACTGTAATTGCCTAGTGGCACAGGCTGGAGCAAAGCAAGTATGAGCAAATCCAGAATCTGGGCAAGCATGAGGAAAGTCAAGAAATGATGGACAGAGACCCCTTTGAGACTGCTGCAGCCTCACATGACCACTGAGTCTAGTGCTCTGCAACCAACAAGAAATGTTGCAATAGATATACTTCTCAGCTTCTCAGACATTTTTTCTACATGCTCCAGTTCACCACAGGCAACAAAGCACCTCCCAAAACCCTCTCATGAACTTAACACCAAGTAGGAATGACCAGAAGCTGTAACTTTCACATGGTAAACCAAGACCGCAGGAGAGAGCAGAAGCATGGCCGGTGTCCTGCTCCTGATGAAGGGAGCTCAGCAAAGCTTGGTAAGAGGACTTGCTTACCCCATGAGATGACAGGCACCAAGAGAAATTCAAAGACACATCACCAAATACTTTGCAACCTGAGTGGAGGAGAAAGCTTCTTTCTGACCACAGACCTAAAGACTGATGCAAGCCAGAGCACATGGCAAAGACAAACCAAGCAGACGCTTGGTACGACTGAGCCCCAGCGCACCCTGACCTGTGTCCTGGCTCTGGATATGACCAATGCCCAAATCTTTGCAAGAATGCCACTGCAGCTTTTTCACGCAACCTGCAAAAGTCCTGCAGCGGGAGATAAAGGCAATGTAAGCATGATGCAGTGTGACAGTAGCTTTAAAATCCCTTTGGGCATATGAGTGTAGGAAATACCTAATGATTCATACTTCTAGAGCACTAAACATGCCATTAGCCCTGCAAGAACCTGGCAACTATAAAAATCCCCAGACAGATAGGAGGAGTGTTCAGCTAGTGAGATCCTGTAGCTACTAGATCAATGTCTTCCCGCACAGGTAAGAAATGAGAAATTATGGGTTCAACAGTCAAAAAATACAAATTTCTCCATAGAACAAAAAGGGGGAAAAATCAAACCCAGTTCCAAAACATTGCACTGAGAAGATGTCACCCCCTCATTTTGGTCTCCATTATAACAGTTGTTGGCTATTTTAACACAAAAATTGCAACAAACTTTGCAAACTTGCTTTCAGACAAGGTAATTTCAGCAGAAGGTGAAAAGTGCTGATGAAAGTGGAAAGATCCTGTAGAATGAACTCTAGAAAACAATTAATCTGTGTTAATGATGTCCAGAGGAAGTGACAGGAAATGCTGCTTAAGACAGATCAAGCCCATTTTACCCTTGAGCAGATATTACACGAAAGGGCAACAGCAGCTTAAGATGTTCCCTTCCACGTTTGCCAGTATTGACCTTGTTCAGGCAAATTATCAATCTCCGCATCTCCTCTGAACTCCCATCATTATGAGTGCACACACCCCTTCAATGTCTGATATGCATACATTATCTCCAAGAATTAATCCGACTTGCATTTGTACACCGAGCAGCTGGTCTGAAATCTACTCCAGAATAAAGTAACAAAAAAAAGTCCAAAAACCATATATGCAGCTGGGATTGCTTATGAGTGAAAAATGTGGTGTCGTTATAGCCAACAGCATATGTATTCAGTACGCAGATCTACAAATATTGGATTCACTGCCAAAATCATTGTTACGCAAACTGGCTGACTCTCTGCATTTTCCTGATGAACCAGAAGGAACCTGCCGAAGAGAGGGAGACAAAGTAGAGTACTTTGCAAAAATTTCAGGTCACAGATTTATGGTGTGCACAATGCAGTGCCATCTAGATAGTCCCAGAGGAGCTCGAATGTCCCTGCAGCACAGAACGTTTCCGACCAGGGTATGAGCTCAGACCCCAGGGAAGTGTCAGCATCGTCGTGATGAGCCCCAATAGTGTGGCTATGTCGTGACAAATTAGCTTGTGTGGAGCAAGGTCAGGTACAGCTGTGGCGAGTGCTGTAGACCCACCTAAACAGCATCCACAAGTGACACTGGAATGAGATCCTGTTTTCAAAGGGATTTAGTGGCCTCCCGAAGTGCAGAATATGACACATGCAACAGCCGCTTCCTCTGCAACACTTAACCGGAACAGCTATATTGCTTAGTTTGCAAGATCAAAAATAAATAATTAAAAAAAAATCAGTCTTCATTTATGCCTCTCTTCAAAACATTAACAAATGCTAAATTCCCCCCTACTTATTTCAGATAATGGAATCTATGTAATGAGAATCATTTTTAATAGAGCTTCTCTGTGTTTTTACTGAGGGCATATTTTTACCCACTGCGTGGAGCTGACTTTGCACATATTCATTCTGCTATTTTAGCAGTAGGAGACTAGGTTAACACACCAGTCATTCACTCCTGGAGATCTGGATTCAGTTCCTGGCCTACATGACAAGTGATAATGAGTTTGGTTATTGAATCTCCAGGGGATATTTGTTCACATTACTAAGCAACCGCATAATTTGGCAAGATGTGTTAAGTATGTGCTACGGATAAGACCAGGGGCCAATTGCTCAGATGACTGACACAACGCAGCCTCCCTCACATCGCTACACCAAACTCCTCCTCTGTGCAATTCTGCTGGAGATGAGCAGAACCGGCGGGTTTTTCAGCCTGTCTGTTTTAGTGTCTGTACCGACATTGGCCAGTGAACGGCCGTGCAGGTACGATCTGGATCTGCAGCTACATAAAGAAACAGGACCTACGTCCCTACTATCAAACTCAGCACATAATTCAAGGTTACTTTAATCAGCTATGCATGTTTTTTCAGCACTTGCTGCACCCAAGCAACAAAAAAACCCACAATGCAAGCTGAAAAAAATACTGGGATTTAAAAAATAATTACATAATAGCTTCTTTTGTTTCCCTATTGGCAGGCAGCTCTTCAGGATTTGCATCTTAAGGCTTTTCTCTGCAAATACAATGTTTACAAACTTTCATTTAAACAAAATGAGAACTGAAACTCTTGCATGATCACAAAACTCCGTAAGACAGCATGTTGGCCATGTAACACTGCTACGTCACGTTGGCTAAGCATTTCAGGCCTGAGTTTCCTTAATATGGGCAGATTGCCTCTGCAACCAATGTGGCAAAAGTAGTCACTTATCCTAAGGTTACTTCCAGGTGATCTTCTTTTGACCCTAGTCCAGCAGACTGTGCCCCAGCTTCAACAGGAGACACAAGCAAGCTGTTAGAGATGTCCTCTAGACCGGTGGGACAACCACTGCGAGAGCAGATAGGGTCTTTCGAGGATGATACCTATGGGTATATAATTGCTACGCTATTTTAACAAGTCTGGCAACCTCCTTTCCCTGGGCCTCTATATAATAGATCTGTGAGCTCTGAACACACCTAAGGAGCAGGCCCATCCCAGAATTTGGGAAGAGAAAGGCAGACTTTGCCTTGTCTCTGCATTACAGCGGCACGTGCGTGGGTGCTATGTACCCAGAGCCCGGGCTAGCGGACTTGTCTGTGTGCTCCTGCACCTATGGACCTTGGAAACTTTGAGGCCAAACGCTGAGGTGCATAAGGAGATTTAGACACTTAAGGAAGAAAGGTGTTCTTCATCACTTTCTGGGACTTTGGTGTCTACATCGTTTAGGTAAGGGAAAGAAGGCATTCTGGATTCTTGCCTTGATATACTGGAGTAGAAATAAACCTTATTCATGGGCCACAGCCATCTGCTACAGATTAAGGTTCAAAAGGGGTTAACACTTCCAGCATGTAGGAGATCCAGATGTCACATCATCACCCAGTTGTATGACAAAAGTCAGAATTCATTGATAGCTTCTGCAGGAATGAAGGTTCAGCACCTGGCAGGCTTAAACCCATAGCAGAGAAGAAAAAAAAACCCAGGAGTAAGCCTGCTCCCATTCCAACAGGAACGATGCTCATCGTGGGGGTGGCTGGTAGCTGAGTAAATCTGGAACGGCTGCAAATCAGGAAATGACTTGTCAGCCAACTCCAAGTCTTTTTTTGGCACACAAGCCTCTTGGGGAGGATAGTGGCAGGAATGAGGCATTTATGTCTGATCATTTGGGAATTTTATGAATAAAAAGATAAAGTTCACTTGCTGTGAATCACAGAAAACCAGAAAACTCTCCCTGCCACGACCAAGAAAGTGTATGAATAAAACTTCATTGAAGAGAAGCCATGGTAGAGCGTGACGTTACTCATAAACAAACACCAGTAAGCTTATGTTCACCATGAGCTGGGACACGCAGCCAACAATTAAAGAGCTCCCATTTACATTGGAAATAATGTTACGGCACCGTTCCAGTTTTCACCGAAGGTCTGGACAGGGACAACGTCTGAGCTGTCAAGGGGAGGCGGACGTGAGCGCGATGTTTCATCTCACGCAGCAAGCTCACGGCAGCCGGGCAGGACGGGGGTGCCGCTCTCCCCCCATCCCCACCGCCCTCGCCGTTCGGCAGTGCCGTGCCTCTGAAGCACCGGCAGCCACCGCGCTAGCAGTAACTTCTGAGTACAGCACCGTGGGTGAGAGAAAGACGGTTCCAGCCCACCTGATTTGCCAGCCCATCTACGGAAACATTGAGTCGTGTCAGAAACGACAGAGAAAACATTTGCTTTGATTTAGAGTGCCTGCCTTCTATTTAGGGGATGCCAGAGACTCCGAGAGTGTGAACAAGCAGCAAAGCGAGGAAGGCATCTAATCTAGTGCTTGAATTTATTTTATATGTATTTTTCTCTCTTCTCTCATAACATTCCACCTTCCCCAGATTATCTTTAAATCAAGTTCTGCTCTAGTCTGATGCAGTTCTTCGCAGTTGTATAAACCTGTCTGCTCAAATGCTCCACCCGCAGAAAACGTGCGCCAGCTTTAACTTCATCAAACCTACCATAAATCCTAGATGTGCCAGAAAATGCTGCTGAAATGCCAAGGCAAGCCACGTTTTCCAGGTCTCCTGCAGGGAGAACGAGCCCCGAACCCCAAATGAAGGACTGTAAAAATCAAGCAAAACTATAATCGCTTTTTGCTAATTGGAAGACCATTAATATAAACACTACTTTCCTCATGCATGAAGCTGTCCTTCCTCCTGCCAGATTCCGAGGATGATATCTTCATTTATTAGAGCATTAAGGTGCATTCACCTCCTGCTAAAAAGCCCAATGAGATAATGACAGGAGAAATAGGAACATGCATCTGAGAGAGGGGGGGCTGGGAGGCCACCCAGGCCAGCGTCTTCTCCTGGGCACTGGCATTAAGGTGCCGCAGAAAGCATCCTACAGCCGTGCCAGAGCCTCAGACAAGTGTCCCCAAGCAAAGCACGTCGCTCGCCACAGTGTCCAGCGGTCAAGAGATGCTTGACCAACAACAGAGCAGCAACCATCTCCAAAAGTCACGATGCCCCGACATCCCCAGGCAGACCGGCCTCATTATCCGCTGACAGCGGTGTAAATCAAGCTTACGCTGCCGGTGAAAAGGCAGCCCAGAGGAAATGAGAGTCAAGAGCCATTTCACTTTTGGCACATCAGATACCGAGATATTCAGGAAGATGTTAACAAAAGGCCTCTTGACTCAAAAATCTGCCTCCGTGTCATGTGAAACATGAGCCGTGGCGAATTAAAAAAATGATGTCCTGAGCCTATTTATGGCACGAATCAGTGTAATGCTGATGGTGTCACGAGAGCTGGGGCAACTCACACCAGCTGAGAAACTGGCCCTATACGTTGAATATACCACGCCTGGACATTTCTGACTCTTGGAAACTGCTGAAATGGCATCTGTTGCAGGTCAGCTTTCAGCTGAAAGGATTAAGCAGCGCAGGAGGTTGGTAAGGGGATACGGGCTCTTCCATCCCCGCTCCTGGCCACAGTTCAGCCCAGGTTTACGCCGACCTTTGGGAGAGCTGATGGGCTCTCCTTGTGCTCCCGGCAGCCACGCTTCTGCACCGTGGAAGGAAAGCACGGCGCGGCTTGGTTGTCTCACTAGGGAGAAACTGATGGGAATGAAGTTAAACGGTCTCATCTGCCCCTCAGGCCGAGGTCAAGGCACACTGGTGGGACAGGCGTGGGGTCCCTCTACCTAGGCGAGATTGTAGATATTAATTATGAATATTATTAATTCAACGTATGCTATCCAAATGAAAGCTGGCATTTTCAAGCAGCTCCTGGGAGACAGAAATCTTCAGAAACGTTTCATTCAGACAGCAAGGTAAAATTAATTTTGTTCAAACAACTACTTCTAGCTGGAGACAGGACAAGAGGAAATGGCCTCAAGTTGAGGCAAGGGAGATTTAGGTTAGATATTAGGAAAAATTTTTTTACTGAGAGGGTTGTCAGACATTGGAATGTGCTGCCCAGGGAAGTGGTTGAGTCACCATCCCTGGAGATATTCAAAAAGCGAGTGGACAGGGTACTCCATAACATGGTTTAGTGGGCATGGATGATGGTTGGACTCGATGATCTTGAAGATCTTTTCCAACCTAAATGATTCTATGATTCTATGATTCTGCTGGACTACAGAGTTCAAAGGCAAAAACCCATTTACGCTATCTCCGGATGTCAAAACCACCCTAGCTAATCCAACAGAAAAAGGAATCTCCCAACTTTCCCTCCTAACACCAGGAAAAAAATTCAGCAGGGAAAAAAAAATAAACATTAGGGATCGGCAGACCGCTTTGGGTAGGATCCGGCCGGTGCAGCAATGCTGTGGGAGGGCACGCATCCGTAGTGGG